AAAAAAAAAAAAAAAAAAAAAAAAAAACAAAAACAAAGAATGTCTCTAACCCCTGCAAAGCAGTGCAGCAGCTGGAGATGAGTGACTTGTCCAAGTTGTACAGATGGCAAATTACAGTCCCAGCATGGAGCTCAGGGTTTGTGACTGGAGTCCAGTCTGCTTTCTCTTTTGGGAGCACCAGAGTAAGCAGTACTGACCACAAGTCTCACCAAGCCTTTTGCTTTGCTGATTAGGAGCAACTGGGTCCACTCTAGATCCCTTTAATATCCTCCTCAAGGATCTGAAGGCATCCCTCATTCATGCTGTCCTTCCTTCCTGCCCCAGCACGTTCCCACAGGTGGTTCCATCTGTGGCCAGACTTCTCCCTGCCCCACACAAGCCTGCCCTGCTCAGACTCCTTACCCCGCATGTTTAGTCTAAATGCCACCTCCTCGGAAATGCCTTTCCTGTCTCCTCCGCTATTCTGTATCCCATACCCAAACTGTCTCCTTGGGAAGAGTGGGTATTTATTAGTTGGCTGGCTTACCATCTGAGTCAGCCCCCGGATGAGAGGTCGAGGCCGCTGCGCTCAGTGCTAGTACGTGCTTTGCATATTTGATGAATGAATGAACTCTTCGGCAACAGTGAGCCCCCAAAACCGCTATCTCTGTGTTATCTCTGGCCACAGCTGTTAATCCTGCTGCTGAAGGTCAGGTAAGCAACACAAATCTTTCTGACTTAAAAATACCTCCCCCTGAGGCTTGCCCGAGTTCTTTTAGAACAATTTATGAAACTGATATTTGTTTGCTGCAATTTGCAATTTGCAACAAGGCTGAAGTGCTAGAATTTTTGTCATCTTCCATCCTCCTGTGCAGGATAAAGCTGGGCATAGGTAAAGACCTGTGGTGCCTGTAGGAGGAAGAAAACCGGATCCAAGAAGCAGGCGATTTAGTTTCCAGCAATCTTTAGGTCCCAGACGGAGGAGTTGTGCGTTTGGGCTCATTAGCTGTGCTCACTAAAGATGACCTGGAGCATGAGGGCACAGCCCCAGCCAGTCTGCCCAGGACTGAGCCTGTCTCTGGTGCTCTTAGCTGGGTCCTTGTAGCGTGCTGCTGGCTGCATAGCAACCCCAGTTCTTCCCAGAATCAGCTGAGAACCTTTTAGCTGCAATTGACAGAAAACCTCCGGTAAACTAACACTAGCAAAAAGAGAACTTCTTAGTTTTCACAGTCGGAAAAGTTCAGGGCCAGGGCTGGCTTTACCCGCAGCTTCATCCAAGGCCCTGCTATATTCCCAGGACTTGGTTCCTCTCTGGGAGTCTCTGGGCTCCCTGTCCTCTGTGTTGACTCCATTCTCATCCATGCCATCCCCCAGAAGTAGGATGGCTACATCAGCTCCAAATTCAAAATGCCTCGTGTAGCCTGGTCGCAGTGGCCCACACCTGTAGTCCCGGCACTTCTTTGGGAGGCTGAGGTGGGTGGACCACTTTAGCTCAGGAGTTGAAGATCAGCCTGGGCAATGTGGCAAAACCCTGTCTCTACAAAAAATTTATAAATTAGCTGGGCGTGGTAATACATACCTGTAGTCCCAGCTACTTGGGAGGCTGAGGTGGGAGGATCACTTGAGCCTGGAAGGCAGAGGTTGAAGTGAGCCAAGGTCATGCTGCTGCACTCCAGCCTGGGCAAAAGAGCAAGACTCCATCTCAAACAAAACAAAACATTTCCTGCGTGCACGTTCATCAGGGAAAGAGTGTCCCACCTCTTGGTGGTCTCAGAAGCCCTGTGCTGTCTTACCAACTCTGATTTGGTTGCCTGCTGTCCCTGAAAATCACAGTGGGCAGATCTGAGAGGCAGGCCTGGAGCAGAAGGGTGCATCAGCTCCCCCAAAAGCTAATGGATTGAGAGCGGAGTGAGGTCATTCCACAAAAGGAAACTGGGGTTCTGTTACCAGGAGAAGGACAGGTGAATTCAAGGCAGCAGACACAGCACTTGTCCCTTTTATCTCCTAATCTGATTTCCTCCTTTTATAAAGATCTCTTGATGGCCGGACACGGTGGCTCACGCCTGTAATCCTAGCAATTTGGGAAGCTGAAGCAGGTGGATCACCTGAGGTCAGGAGTTCGAGACCAGCCTGGCCAACATGGCGAAACCCCGTCTCTACTAAAAATACAAAATTAGCCACACATGGTGGTACATGCCTGTAATCCCAGCTACTTAAGACTGAGGCAGGAGAATTGCTTGAACCCAGGAGGCGGAGGTTACAAAGAGCAGAGATCATGCCACTGCACTCCAGCCTGGACAACAGAGTGAGACTCCATCTCAAAAAAAAAGAAAAAGATCTCTTGGTGTGCTCCTCCTTCCCACGGCCTTGCTGAAGCTGAGGACAACCCCTGTGATGCATTCCTCATCTCATCATTCTCTCATTGCTCATCATTGCACTTGAACACAGTAGAGCATGCTTCTTTGTATAATTCACCTGATTTTATTCATTTATTTACATATTTATTTTGAAACAGGGTCTTGCTGTCTCCAAGGCTGGAAAGCAGTGGAGCAATCACAGGCGTCTGCAGCCTTGAATACCCAGGCTAAAGTGATCCTCCCACCTCAGCCTCCAAAGTAGTTGGGACCACAGACAGACAACTACACCCAGCTAACTTTTGTTGTTGTTTATTTTTTGAAGAGATGGGGTTACCCTATGTTGTCCAGGCTGGTCTCAAACTCTTGGGTTCAAGGGTCCTACCTGCCTCCGCCTCCCAAAGTGCAGGGGTCACAGACATGAGCCACCTTGACCAGATATTTTACTGTTACTTATATATTTTACTATTTAACAGATATTTTACTGTTACGTATGTATTTTACTGTTTAGATATTTATATATTTTACTGTTTAGATATTTTATTATTGCTTATATTTTAGTATTTTAACAGATATCACTGTATTTTACTATTTGTCTTTTAACAGATGTTTTGCTATTAAGGTCAAGCAGTTTTTCTGTTTTATCATTGTTTTTTGTTTTCTCTCTTTGACAGAGAGGAGATGGAATGAGCTGCTCTTTAGCCTGAGTACACAGTGGGCTTTATATCTATCAATCAGCGCCAGAAATAACCCTAAGAACTGAGCCATAGAAAGCTTTCTAGCAGGCCGGGCGCAGTGACTCACGCCTGTAATCCCAACACTTTGGGAGGCCAAGGCGGGTAGATCATGAGGTCGGGAGTTCAAGGCCAGCCTGGCCAAGATGGTTTCTACTAAAAATGCAAAAATTAGCTGGGCACAGTTGTGGGCACCAGTAATCCCAGCTACTCAAGAGGCTGAGTCAGGAGAATCACTTGAAGCCAGGAGGCGGAGGTTGCAGTGAGCTGAGAT